CAATAGCTAAAGGAAACTGCTTGAGCACTTCCCTCCAAAGCTTCCTTAATTCAGCATAGTGGCTCCAACCAGTCATCTCTTTGCACTGATTAATTGTGAAGAACAGGAGGGGAGAGTTCCCTCCCCTCTCTCTGCATTTCTGTATCGACACTAAAACGATCAAAACTGGCCCCTCTGCAGCTTCCACATATAGGAACCATCTCTGGTAACAGATTGTTACATGTTTAATGAAATTGAGAAAAACAAGAAATGTAAAGGCTGCAGGGCTACACAAGTTTGCTGTTCAGTCTGCCAAATTCAAACTAGCTCAGGCAACTCACAGAAGTTTGGCTTCTCACTCATTAAGGAGATTTATATAAGATGTACCAAAATCTGTATCCAGCAGGCTGGAGAGTATTGAGTGGCATGCCATTTGCAAGTGTGAGATGAAATGGAGTCAGCTTGATTGAGTGTCTTTGTCACTCCAGTTATATTCCTTATCACAATACGGAAGGGAATATCTGTGCAGACATGACAATCAGATCAACCTAACTGGTAATGACCACAATAGAACCTTGGAGTTATGAACATCAGAATTATGAACTGATCTGTCAACCACACACCTCATTTGGAACCATATGCAAAAAACAAAAAAAGGGAAAAGTTAAAAAAAAGATTTGACAAGATAAGGAACATGTCTCTGTGTTTGTTTCATTTAAATTAAGAAGGCTTAAAGCAGCATTTCTGCATACTAGAGTTTCAAAGCTGTTTTAAGTCAATGTTCAGTTGTAAACTGTTGAAAGAGCAACCATACATAACCTTTTGTTCAAAGTTACCAACATTTCAGAGTTATAAAAAATCTTCTTTGCCAAGGGCTACGTCTACACTGGCCCCTAATTCCGGAAAAGTCATGCAAAGCAGGTAAGTCAGAATAGGGAAATCCGCGGGGGATTTAAATATCCCCCGCGTATTTAAATAAACATGTCCGCCGCTTTTTTCCCGGCTTGGGGAAAAGCAGGAAAAAAGCGTCTAGACTGGCGCGATCCTCCGGAATAAAGCCCTTTTCCGGAGGATCTCTTATTCCTACTTGAAAGTCATGCAATTCTTGAAAGTAGGAATAAGAGATCCTCCGGAAAAGGGCTTTATTCCGGAGGATCACGCCAGTCTAGACGCTTTTTTCCGTCTTTTCCCCAAGCCGGAAAAAAAGCGGCGGACATGTTTATTTAAATCCGCGGAGGATATTTAAATCCCCGCGGATTTCCCTATTCTGACTTACCTGCTTTGCATGACTTTTCCGGAATTAGGGGCCAGTGTAGACGTAGCCAAGGTGTTTGTAACTCTGAGGTTCCATTGTATTTCTTAACCAATTGATTCTGTATTGGCTCAGGTGCATAGGATCAGTGAGTTCTTTGAGACTATGTGCATGGAATAACATCCATTGTAATCTTGTGTAAGGCCTGTTTCATTACAAGGGCCCTTGGTCAGTCAGTGTAATGTACTCAAAAGCCATAAGCACAGAGAATCTATCTAGTGTAAAGAAACTAGAATAGTATTTTAAAAAGCAAGCCCCTCTTTTTTTTCAATTTGCAAAGAAAGCCTCCATTGTATAACACTTTGCAGAACTGGTTATTTTGAGCCAGTAGGCAAAACAAACATACCAACAGATGTGTTAGCTTCACTCAAATATCTCATCAGGATACTTCAGCTACCTTCAGCTACAGAACCTGATGCAGCCAGGGAGATGTTAACACACAAACAGCCCTCTAAAATTACTGAAATGTACTCATAACAGCTATAGCTACTTTTCACAATATGTTCCAAGAAAAAACAAAAAACAGAAAAATCTCCAGCACTCCACTACTATGGTGGACATAAGACCCAGCTGTCCTGGGCCAGCTGTGGGGTATCGGAACAAAGATGTGTATATTATTGTAATTGATGCCTTTGACCTTTAATCAAGATTTATAATGGCATATTAGTTCAACTGAGTGACACTTTATCTGGCTTGCTTCAAATGAATAACTACATCATTTTCTTCCATCCTTAATTTCTTTCAGCACAGAGTCATTTTAGGCAGCCGTGTTCTTCAAATATTTTTCTTGAGGGGATATGTAGCTTAACACCCGGGTTTTGTAAGGGGGTGGCTCTTTCTATATGTGCGTGTTTTCTGAGGCTTTTCAACCAGCACTGTAATGGAAAGCTCTCAGCTAGCACCTCAGCAGTGGAAAGTGTCACTGAGATCACTGCCCATTTTAGATGCCCCAGTAACACAAATTATGGCAGTGGCAATTAGGATTTTTGAACTGTCTCCAGCCCTACGGACTATAAGGATAATGGTGGGATCTATAATGGAATATATACTAATAGGCTTTGCATGCTCGTTGTGCCTAGGCGACATACTTCAGAAGTCACTGGGTTTGAGAAACCCATATCCTTCAGTGTACTTAGGTTCATTTGAGCAATTGACATATCCTTCAGTGTACTTAGGTTCATTTGAGCAATTTGATTTTTAGAACTTTGCTGACTGACCATTTTTCTAGGCTTCACACCAGACTCTACTATCATAATGTCTCCTTGTCAGTAAATCAACAATGCCAGGAGAGCCTAATGTCTTCAAGCAACTCAATAACAGCTCATACATCATAATGCAGAAAGCTCAGTTGTTTCCCTGTATCATACCCACTTCCACTTCTCTGCAGGTTGCTCTGCCTATCCAGGTTCAGCCTTAAGGCCAAGTCTACACTGGGGGAGAAAGTCGACTTAAGATACACAACTCCAGCTACAAGAATAGCATAGCTGGAGTTGACATATGTTAAGCTGAATTTCTGGGGTATCCCTCTTGCGGGTGATCAACGGGAGAAACTCTCCCATTGACTTCCCTTATTCCTCGCAACCCTGTAGAGTACTGGGGTCAATGAGATTCTATCAGCGGTTGATTAAGTGGGTTCTTACTAGACCCACTAAACTGAACCTCAGAAGCTTGATCTCCGGAATGTCGATCTTTGGGTAAGTGTAGACCTGGCCTTAGAAAACCAAAAATCTGGTTTGCTGACATTGCTCCCTAAAACAGTGTCAAAGTGTCAGTGATGATCATCAGCAAGAGACTGGGTGGCTTAAGTACTATAGGAATTCACCTGCACTACCAGAGAATACAGCCTTTCACGGGACAGGTTAGGACACTTTCATCCTGAGGTACAGTTTTGCAGCTCAAGCTTTCCGCATACCAAACTTCTTCCTATAAATCAGCAAAAACTCTGAGCAAGCAAGTCTTGAGCTTACCAAGAATGCTCTGCCTTTGAAACTGTATTGCCTGGCTGTAAGTAAATGGACATCAGTTCACAAAGGTAGGCACTGAGATGGATTTAAGTAATATTTGAAGTATGTCTGTGCTCTTCCTCTGGGGGAATTCTGTTCCAAAAATTAAATTCTACAAACAATATTTTAAAATTGTACAATTTTTGTCAAAATAACATGACATAATTACACCAGTTTCAAGTATTTTGGTAATTCATTTCAAAATACCTGTAAGGAAATTGGACGGTAATAATCCAACCACCCCTAACCCCCAGCTCTAGAGAGTTAAAGAAATCTCCCCCCCCCCCCCCCCAGAGCCCAGCTGGGGGGCCATACACTCACTCACACCTCCTTCTCCCCAGAGTCCAGCTCTGGGAGCCCTCCTTGCCCAGATACCGGTACTCCCTCTGTCCTCCCACACCCTGCTGCAGGGGTCCCCTTGCTCAGATACGTGTCCCCCTTACCTCCAGAGCCTAGCAGTGACTCCTTCCCTAGCTCAGATACCTAATCCTTATCCCTGAGAGCTCAGGAATACAGCCTAATGCTCCATCCCAGGCTTGCATGGAGTTACCTGTGCACCACTCTCTCCTTTCCTCTGGGCATGTGGGGAACTGTAGCTGCCAGGAACTCTCTAGCTCTCTCCCCCTGCCCCTGACTTGTCTTCCATGTGCAAATTGGGCTCTGCTAAGTCTAGATCTAGCAGTCCCTAGTGTTGGCCAGCAGCACAGTAGCCCATTTCTGTGGGAGAAAGGAAATTCTGCCCCAAAAACCATTAATTTCTGTAAAATTCTGCATTGTGCAGTGATGCAGAATTCCCCCAAAGTAATGCTTTGAAAAGTGGTTCTATAAAAATAGTATGACTGAATTCCATGTTTGTTTCTCAATGACTCCATATCAAGTTTATTCTGTTTATGGGGAAAATGTTTTTCTATTTACCAGATGGGGAGTTAAAGTCAAGCTGGATTCTTCTGGGCTTGCACAGTATCTTCTGTAATTAAGAGTCTGCAGCTGGAACAATTCTGTATGGTTTGTGAAACCAATTTGATAAACCTGCTAATTGGCCGCGTTGGTTTGTTTACTTACCAGCACTGCAAATGGCAAAATGGAACCAATGGGAGCTGGGAAGCTCTGTGGCTGTGGCGCTGGTAAGTAAACAAACTGGCGTGGCCAGTTAACATGTCTCTCAAAGTAGTTTTGTGGACCACTTTGAGAAACACTGCTGTAGATGATGCCCTTGGAAGAGAAGTTTCTCACTCTCTCATAGTTGTTTGCTCTGAAGTGTTAATTGGAGTAAAACGTGGTAAAATCTTGTTTTTGTCACCAAAGTAAATAACTCAGACTCTCAATAAAGGTCTGTTCAATAAGAAGGTGCCTTATTACAGTCATTTTTCATAACTGTCCTTTACATTGAGATCTCTCAGTGGCTTAAGATGTGAGTGATCCCTTTTTTCCTATTATTATGGTTTCACACAAGATGTTTTGTGCAGCTGGAAAGGTGACCAAGTGAATTCAAGACCTCTTATCAAAGCCACAAATGGGTTTGTTCTTGTCTCCTTTCACTATTTCTGGGTGTCAGTATCACACAGCAAATCATGATCTAGCCAATTAGCAAGCCCATAAGTGCCACCTTTGAACAGACCAACATTTTTCTAGTTTGCTTGGTTCTTACCCATCAGTTGGTATTTGTTACTTGCAATTACTAATTTTGCTCTTTTTTCCCCTTTCAGTTGCCAAGAAGGAAAAGACAAAACCACTGCCAATACCATGTCCTTAGTCTGAGAAGGAATAGCTACTGAGATGATGGGCCTAACCACCTCTGACCCTCTCCTGTCATTTCTCTCTATTCCTTTCCGCCATTTGTTTGTAAGGGAGTCTTTCCCCTGCCACTCCTGTTCCTTAAGAGCAAGGGGACAATAAACTGATGTTGTTTTTCACTGACTCAGCTGGTGTGTCATTTTCCTTTATTTGCTGTTAATGCTTTCAGTTTAAATCTGTACTTAGAGATGGACTCCAACCAAAACACTCAGATTTGGGTCTGTGTTTGGATTTCAAAGTCTCTCAATCTTTGAGAATGTTTGGATTTAAGGTTTTGTGTTTGTCTCATTATAAAGATCAGGGCTGTTTGCAAAGTTTGCAGGCAGAATCAGTTTACATTTTGATACCTACTCATCCAAAGTGCAGGGGTTTGGGGACTTGTGTAAAGATCAGGGCTGTTTGCAAAGTTTGAAGGCAGAATCAGTTTGCATTTTGATATCTACTCATCCTAAGTGCAGGGGTTTGGGGACTTGTTTCAGATCCATATCTACTTGCTTTAGTTATTTATGTGTGATTGTGAGTAGCATAATAAATTGTTGTACTTGGGAGTTAGGGTTAGTCATGGAACTCAGGCTATGTCTACACTACAGGGTTTTTGCGCAAAAAGAGCCTATCAGAAAAAGCACAGGTGCTCTGATGGCCATTCATAGAATGGCCATCAGAACTTTCTTGCGCACGAGCATCCATGCAGTGTGGACGCTCTCTTGCGCAAAAGCACATCGCTTTTGAGATGCACTTTTGAGGTGTGGACACGCTTTTGCTCAAGACGTTTTCAGAGAAGATCTCTTCTGCAAAAAGCTTCTTGTGCAAAAACCCTACAGTGTAAACAAAACCTCAGACGTGGGGTTGCATGTGGCCATTTCTAATGACTGAAAGCTGCCATGTGTCCTATTTATAGTGGAGCTCCTGCGATGGTGTTCTTGCAGAACTGTAATAATAAAACTTTGGCTCTTCTAGAGCTGTCCATATTAATTATATAGCTGTAGAGGACAACAGCTTAATCTAGAACTATCCTGTAACTGGCAATTAACATCTTCACTTGAGTAATACTAGTTTCTTTGACAACCTCTTTCCTGCATTAAGATGTTAAAAGTAAATGTCGAGATCATGTGGGTCATAGAGCCAATCAAATATGCAGAGCTTCGGTCTTCTGAAACCTAGCCATTTATTACTTCCCCCTTTATTATATATGTAGTTTAAGTGTCAGATCCAGGCAAGTCTTTTACTTATTAATTGTGATGAAAGTGTATCTTTATCTGGTAGCCATGGCAAAAAGCCACTGGCAGGAAAACTGAGGAATTTTATAGTCCCAATTTTTTTAATGGCTAAACCATTAAGTGAAGATAAAATTATATTCTCATGATAAATTGTTCCTCTCTACACAATTAAAGTGGCACTTTTTATTTACTGAAATCTTTTGCAACACTTGACAGGTACCTGAGTTCTATCAGTTCCCTTCATTATATGGTGAGGGTGAATCACTGTTCTACATGATCTACAATAAAGGTTAAGTTGAAGAGAAATGCTGTGGAAAGTAGTGTTATCTCTTATCATTGAAAGCAGTGGTGTCTTGTTTCTTTGCAATGAGCTACATACTGAACTGAAACTAAATGGGAGTAGGATTATGGTTACCCTACTATACATTTTACAACTAAATTCTAGATTTGGGTATAATAGGTCTCTCTATTTTTTTGAACTTTACCTTTTTCTTAATATTGTGCTTTTCCTTTTAAACAGATTCAGATAATTGATCAAACAGGGTATGTCTACACTACCACCCTAGTTCGAACTAGGGTGGTAATGTAGGCAACCGGAGTTGCAAATGAAGCCCGGGATTTGAATTTCCCGGGCTTCATTTGCATAAAGCCAGGCGCCGCCATTTTTAAATGTCCGCTAGTGTGGACTCCGTGCCGCGCGACTACACGCGGCACGGAGTCCGCACTAGCAGACATTTAAAAATGGCAGTGCCCGCTTTATGCAAATGAAGCCTGGGAAATTCAAATCACGGGCTTCATTTGCAACTCCGGTTGCCTACATTACCACCCTAGTTCGAACTAGGGTGGTAGTGTAGACATACCCACACATAGTAACTTGTGGAGTAAAATGAAGTAAAAAAGTGTGTAGAAGAGAGTTGGAACTGGGGTTAGGAAAAGATTTATAACAATCCTTTATCTTTGCCCATTACCTTTCATCTTTTATCCAAGGTTTTCTGGAGGCCTGATCCAAAGCCCTTGGAAGTCAGTCAGACTCCCATTGAATTTGAGTCAGTTTTCCTGTATTTTCCAAATATTAATCAAGCCTTGCCTTTTTGAGGTGGATAAGTATTACAGCTTTTTTACAGAAAGAGACTCTAACACTAATACTAACTCTGTATGTCGATTTAAATTATGCTGGTTCAGTTACATGTTATGTAACTGAGGTTGACGTACAGCAGTGTCTATGCCATCCTACATTGACAGAAGATGCTCTCCGATCAACATAGCTTCTTTCACTCAGGGAGGTGGAATGCAGGTGTTATTGGGGGAACGCTCTCCAAACAACTTCGTGTGTTTTCAACAGACCCACTAAATTGAAACTGCTGTATTGATCACAGCCTTCTTGATTTAGCCAGTAGTGCGGACATAGCCTAATAGTGATATAATTTATCCTGTGTGATGTAAAATACTCTTCTTGCCCTCAAACAGTGGCAGAGATGTTTTATTGTGGGGTGTAGATTTTCTCTTGCTAAATGAATAGTCATCAATTATTTTGCAGATTGTCAGAAATAGACCTATATTACTCTAGAAAGGGGACAAAATATACAGACTCGAGGCCCTATTTTCTCTACTATAGAAGTTAAATTATTTCCTGAAAGAGTGAGGAAATGACACCAAATATCAAATAATGATTATAATCTTTTAATATACAGGGTTTTCCAAACTGTAAAAAAAAGTAGTAAACTTTAAAGTGAATATGGAACTCTATAATTTCAGATTACACAAAGCAAGGATCAATTTGAACTGTAGCCTTTAATATCTCCATTCTTATCAGAATATTTTTCTATGAACATTTAGTCAGTTCTCCAGTTTTCTATGGATGTATGGTTGTTATCACATGGATAGTCAATCCTGATAGGGCAGAAATATTATAGACTATTTATAGCATTAATTCTTTCTTTCAGTATATATTTCCTGTCCCATATAAATTTTCTGGAGCAATTTGGATTCATGTGAGAATGCTGGTTGATTTCTAATTTTTGTTTTAAATCTATGGTGGGATGATTTGGAATTAGGATTTTTTTCTCTGTTGCACAGCTCTGTCTTTGCTTATGCATGCTTTATATATTTTGAAGCTACATAGCTCTGATGGCAACTTTTTATACAGACTTTGAAGAGTATGTACCTGATTCTGACACCCTTATTTGTGATGTAAAAAGAAAAGTCCCCCTATAACAGGTCCCGCTGACTTCAGTTGAATCACTTACTGAGTAACGCACTAATGAACATGGATAAAGATATCAGAATCTGGCTATAAAAGCAAAGAGAGACTGAAGTCTTCAAGATACCGGCCAAATTCTAAAAGAGCACTATGTATAAAGCACTCTTCAGAAACTGCCTCTATACTAGGGGAAGCTAATCCTGACTACCCTTCGAAATTCCAGTTATAAAGCTGGAGCTGCTGGACATTTTGGGGCCGGGTGTTTGGCCTGCAAGATTCTGAATCTACAGTGCCATACTCAGAAGTAGTATTATTCCATGCAGAGACTATAATTTGTGCACAGGGAAAGGCATTTTTGTGCAGACAGGAGGGTCCATTGCCAGTCAGAGTATGAGTTTAGAATCTCACCTACAGTGATTGGTATGGGTAATGAAACTTGTAAATCGTCTAAAATTTGTCAAATAACATTTGCGAACTGAGTAATTGTTCACATACATGTTGTTCAAGTTTGCAATCTTCTGCTAGGTGGATGTGAGGCTTTCATTTTCCACAGTGATATCTCGTTCACTGCTTTTTCTCTTTGAGAGCCACTGATGTAAAATTACTTGTTCCTTTCTATTCATTTTTCCATAACTTTACTTGTGTTATTTGCAACAGCTGGACTGTACTTACTGACTTTTCTTGCTCTGAGACAAGGAAAATGTTGCCTTTTCAGCTGTCTCTCGTAGTAACTGCCAAAAGATGAACTTAGCTTGGAGAATTGGCTTCACCTACCCTTGTTTATTGAAACAGATATTTGAGTTATAGTCTGAATAGCATTGAAATTGGATATAAAGAGGTATTTTGTCACATTTTTGTAGTATGGTGATGTGGAAGCTTTTCATAAATGGCCAGATTTGTTCTTGGTTACATACTGTACCTTTGGAGTATTTCTATTGATTTCAGTGGAGTTAACTCAAGAGTTACACAGAGAGCAAATTCTGGATCCAAGTATTTCTATTCCATCACATTTCACAAAGTTCTGAAATTTCACAAAGCTTGTGACAGACTAAGGAGTGAATGGCAATTCTTATTACAAGTTGAACCTCTCTAGTCTGGCATTCTCTGGTCCGGCAAGATATGTGGTCTGGAATGAACTTAGTGAGCTGAATGTCCACTTATCTGTGTGGCCATTGCCTGCTGTCACATAAAGTTTGTTTACAGACACCAGTCCTGCCTCTCAGCATTCTGCGCTATTACTTAGCTGTAATTTAGCTCTAAATATCTACTAAGAGCCCAGCAAGCAGTGGAAGTGTTCGGAATGCTGCTAGATAATATTGACCTTTGGTGGTTCGGCAAACTCTCTTGTTCGGCACTGGTTAGGTTCAAGGATGCCGGACTAGAGAGGTTTAACCTGTATCAACAAAGAGATTTGATTTGGGAATGAAAATAACTGGCTCTTTCCTTTCCTTTTAACATACATTGTTATATGTTTTGCAAAGCAAAACAGATGCCTGTATTGATTTTACTCTGACTGTAATCAAAGGAACATTACAGTGAGAACATTTCATTCAAAAAATTGAAGCTTAGTTCAATCACTTCAGGTATGCTGGACACAGAATTTTCACTAACATTTTTAGCAACAGAATGATTTAAAAAATCAATGCAGAAATGCAATCTATATTCCAAGATCTAGCAAATTTTACTGTTTTTGAGAGCTATGAAAA